GTTACTTTTTGAAAATTAGTAATTACATGTACACATACTGTATATGGGCTGATGTTTTACTATTGTATCATTGAGGGGAAGGGGTGCCTTGATAATTGAGAATTTGGAATAATTCGACAAGGTCAGAACCCCATAGGTGTTGAGCTATCAAAGGTTTACTGGAATTAGTAAATACAGTATACAGTCATTTACCGGTTAACATCTGACCGAACAACGTCCGATCGCATATACGTCCGTGGCTCCCAAAAGTGACGCCTGCTGGACCACCACTCCACAACCCCCTGACGGAGACACGATGATCCTCCCCATGCTGGTCAGATATTATGTGTTAAAGGAATATGCTTCCTTACCTAGGCTTTTTTTTAAGCATTTGCCTCCAGGTGTAATGTTAACCTACATCTATTGAGGATAAAATCTTTCTCCTACAAATTGACAATAACACATTTGCTGTAATCAGACATATCTAGTTGCCTCAACAATTGCAACCCCAGTTGCAATTGGGGTTGCAATTTCAAATTCTGTGGCATTACTAAGAATAACTAAGTCTCTGGTGCACTCTAAGATTAAGAGAGAAAACGGAGGACTCAGGCGTCCTGATGTGAGAGAAAACGGACTCGTATCACGGGGGACCAAATAAAAAAGCATAGCTACATGTTTTGTGGACTACAGTATTAAGCGTACCCTTTTCATCACTTTGTAATAAACCTAGCCATGCCTGTGTGTGTTTATGATATTTACCATAACATTATATATATATTTAGTGGGTCTAAATGGTGATAAAATGGGAAACTTGGGGTTGGGTCTTGGGTGCCTGAACCAATTAGAATAAATCCCATAGGTTCTGTACTTTCGTTATCGGCGGGGTCCCAATTAGGTGCGATAACCAAGGGATGACTGTACTGTACTGTATATACTTGTGACACTGGCCAGTTGCTTCTGGTGTTATGGTACAGGGGTACCAAGTGACAGCACTAGGATCCCACTTCCTCTATCAAGGAATAAACAATTAAAATTTAAATTGAAAAAAAAATACATTCAAATAATGGGACCTAGCGAACCTAAATGGCCCTAGAGCGGGCACAGTCACGTATGCATCGCGTATTCTTATAGATTGTGCTGCTAGGCGTACGTTATCTAGTGAATTTAGTCAATATTGTACAGTAACAATGGACCTAAGTACAAGCCTGTATTGTACATGTACTAAATGATTACGGTACTAAAATTGTTATGTCTATTGCAAATATAGCTTGTTTATACAGGGATTTAAATAAATTACTATCTTACAAGAATGCCACCAATGTAAGTTATATTCACCCAGGTCGTTTGGGTGGCAAATTATGAGAAGAGCTTAGTCACTCTTAAGTAATGATAAATAACCATGCAGGCCTTCAGCGCCAACTGTCAAATCTTATCTCAAATAAATAAACAAACAAACAAACGCCAGACATTCTGTCACCTCACCTCCCGCCCGCTCTTCACACCCTGGTGATTTCTTTGTTTATTTTATATAATATCTCAAACTAAAGTTAGGATAATATAATTTGCATTGCTGAAATCCTTGCAAGACAGAGATTAATTTGAATATAAGTGTCGTATATTTTGCTCAAGATAAAAAAAATGTAGTACATTAGTGTACAATACTGTAGTACATTTTATAAAAAGTTTTTCAATTGTATTTTTGGGTAGATTTACATAAATTTCTTAATTTATTTTCATCCCTTTACATGCACACACCATACTAAAAGAAACGTAAAAGAAACAAATGACCTTATTGCAAAGCTGGAGTGCACATGTACTAATTTGATTACGGTTGTAGTGGACGTCTCCTCTACAACTGCCTACAACTGCGTAGCCACAGCCACCACCTGCTACCGCCTTCCCTAGCAACCAACCAGATGTTACCGTATCTTAGCAACGGAACTAGTGACCGGCGACTTTCTGGGTTTTCCCAACATGACTCATAGCGGCTGCTGGGTATATAAGCTCTGTCTCTCCATTGAGATTCATTCTGACCATTCTTCTTGAACAAGCAACACCTCCTCCTCCGCCGCTGCCTGGCTGCCTTCGCTTCTCCTCGCCTGCCTGGCGGTCCTCGCTCCCGCCAGCGAGCATGACGACCCACCAGCTGTCCTTCTCTGAGCTTCCTCACCAACCAACTCTCATTCTGCCCATCTTCCTGAACAAGCAACACCTCCTCCAGCAAGCTCCTAGCTGTCAGCATTCATTCAACCAGGAGGCCAGCAACAGGCAACATCTTCTCTAACGAAGCTCCTGCACATCTACCTCCTTCAACACGCTACTCACCGAACGTCTTCTACTGAGCAGCTCCTCACCACACGGCACCTCCAGCACCAGACTGTCTATCATATAACTTATATTATACAAGAAAACCACATTAGAGTTTCCTTCCATCCTGAGTGCTAGACAACATTAAAATCTCGATACCCCTACACGGTACTAAAATTGTTATGTCTAGTGCGAATTACAGCATGTTTATATTCAAATAAATCAGTATCTTACACGAATCCCAGCTATGTAAATTATATTCTCCTAGGTCATATCACTGGCATTTTAAAATGAGAGAAGCTTAGTAGGACTGTTAAACACACAGAGACCTTCCCCTCAAACTTATCACCTCAACCCCCCCCACCCCCCCCAACCCCTCGCTGGGTGGCGTGGCTGGCTCCTTCCCTCCCCCCTTCCCCAGCCAGGCTTTTAGGCTTACAGTTTTTATCTTATATAATATCTCAGACTTAAGTTAGGAGATTATAATTTGCATTGCTGGAATCCTTGCAAGACAGCCAATAATTTGAATATAAACGTCATATATTTTGCTCAAGAGATAAAAATTGTTGTACATTAGTGTACAGTACTGTAGTACATTTTATAAAAAAGTTTTTCAACTGTATTTTTGGGTAGATTTACATAGATTTCTTCATTTATTTTCATCCATTTACATGCACACACCAGACTAAAAGAAACGTAATAGAAATAAATGACCTTAGTGCAAAGCTGGAGTGCACATGTACTAATTTGATTACGGTACTAAAATTGTTTTGTATAGTGCAAATTATAGCATGTTTATATTCAAATTAATCAGTATGTTACAAGAATCCCAGCTATGTTAATTATATTCACCCAGGTCATTTCACTGGCTTTTTATAAGAGAGAAGCTTAGTCACCTAAGAACTGATAAATATACACGCGTTAGACCTGGGCCTGTGCCAACTGTCAAACGTACTACCTCCCCTCCCCACACACCCCCTCGCTCGGTCCCACCCTCCCTCTCCCCCATCTGCTCGGCGTTGCTGGAATCCTTGTAAAACAGTGAATAATTTTAATATAAACTTCATGTATTTTGCACAAGAGATAAAAATTAATCACCTGTATCTCTTTACAGTAGTGATTTAAGAGTAAAAGTGTATATGTACGTATACGTAAGTATAAATTAAAAGTTTATGTGAAGATCGGACAACGTCCATTTCGGTTAACGTCACGTTTCCAAGAACGTATTTAGGACGTTAACCGGCGCATGACTGTACACTACTGTAATAATCTGTGCTTGCTAATATCAGTACCCTTCATGTACAATACATTACTGTATATATCTTATAAAGAATTTATGTCATCAGGAATGCATCTCCATATTTGTGCTGGTACGGTTGCGGAAATGTGTTCCTACACCCCTTGTGGTAACCCGTGTCTCAAAACGGCAATGTCGCAGTAGTAATACCTCTATTTATGAATGGATGAGTATTGGTCGTGTAGCGATGGACGTGATTGGCAGATAGGTTTGCTATAGGTCATAATAGATTGGTGCTTGGAGACGTGGGTTACTACAGGGAGTGTAGGAACACATTTCCCCAACTGTATCAATTTCATTTCTCTAACACAAATAGAGTAGATGTTGTGATTAAAAGTTTAAAATCTTTTTACCAGCCATAATTATGTTTGCTACTTAGCTTTCATATTTATTCAAGACATCTTCAGGTCATGGCACTCATTAATCTTCTATCCTGGCAGTGGATAACCTGACATTGCATGAGACCACCCCACCCTGCCCCACCCCACCCTGCCCCACCCCACCCTGCCCCACCCCACCCTGCCCCCACCCCACCCTGCCCCACCCTGCCCCACCCCACCCCTGCCCCCACCCCACCCTGCCCCACCCCCCTGCCCCACCCCACCCCCCCCACCCTGCCCCACCCCACCCTGCACCCTGCCCCACCCCACCCCACCCTGACCCACCCACACCCCACCCTGACACCTGCTGGACCTGACACTGATCATATCAGGTCAGTGGCATGAGACCCAATAATTCCCTACCACACCTCCATTGCAACATTTCTTACTTTTTTTTTTTTTATAAAAAAATTGTGTCCCCATCATTATTTTTGTGTTTTTTGTGACTGTGAAAATGTCTGGCAAGGACAGAGGCTACTCCTCCAGTCCCTACTCTTCAGACTCACCAAAGTTTGTGTGGGACTCGGGTTGATATCTCCACTCCACTTCATTGTGATGTAGTGCTGGTAATAATCTAGGATTTTTTTTTTTCAGTGAAACATACCTGTATGGGTGTCCAACTGGCCAGGACCCGATCCCTTTGAGCCCAGTGCTATAATGAACCTGATGTACAATATTTCGACCTGCAATTAGTTTTGGGGAACTTAACCCCATTGCAAATAGAGGTAGTCCTGTATACATGAACTTACGTTCAAATGGGTCAGAGAAAGTGTTAAAGCTGAGGTCCATTATAGATAGTGTCAGTTATATCAGGGATTTACTGTAATTTAGACAAATCTGCGCACTGCTTGGTCCCAAGGCGTTCAGACATATTAACTTTAACTGTACAGTACAATACAGGATTAGGTTAATTTTAGGGCAAGTTAAAACTATGGGCAACCAATATGTTTGAGTGACGTGATTGGTAAATGAAAGTAATTATTCTGTCCCTTGATTACTTTACCTTTATTAATCTTATGTTTCATTTATATTTTCAGCTGGACAGTGTGGAGTTTTGCGTAAAAACCTGAGTTTGGTAATGGCTGGTAAATCTCCCACTCACCAATATGATGGCTACACATCTTGTCCTTTAGTAACTGGTAAGTACAACAGATGCAGTCAGCTTGTTTCATCAGCATATTCATTTACATATTTTCCAACAGGTCAGAAAGTTGAAGAAAATTGAGACTAGAGCAATCAGTAGCAATATTTGCTGTTGCTTAATGTATGTAAAACATTAACAATATTAGTGTCCAATTAATCAAGGTGAAACAGTAAAAATGTTAATGTCATGTTAATCAAGGTACAATAGTAACAATATTATTGCCATGTTAATCAAGGTAAAACAGTAACAATGTTAATGTTGTGTTAATCAAGGTAAGACAGCATTGTCACGATTCCCTAGCTTTTCCGGATTGTTCATTTCGAGTGTTAGTCAGGAGGATTTACCCTAGTCTGAATTAGTAACTGGAGAGAGAAAAGCTATGAATGCCAAGAATGGGGACAAAGCCATGCTCTGGCTTTGAAGTTGAAGTCATTGGAATGTCATGAAGCTAAAGCCAATGCCAGACATTAAAAAAGTCATGAAGCCAAACCTGAGTATGGTATTCTTAGTTGCAGCTTGTCTTTGAGATATAAGCTGACTTTATTTTATGCTGATTGTTCCTGGGGTAAGATTTGACTCTCCCTAGATGCTGAAAAAGATTACTACTTGTACTGTAGTAACAATTTATCTTACTAAATTAATTTTATCCACAATACTGTACATAAACTAGTTCTGTAATTTGCAATAACAGATCACAGAGAAGCATTGGAATGAAGTATCATAATATTTTCATAGGTACAGAGCGACCTAATGTCAAGTGACAACTGTTTGGTATCTTTGATCTCTTTCAACAATCAGGTCAGGTCCTTGTGAGAATAGGACCAGTAGGGATAACTTGTGATATCAGTGTGGATTTCAGTACATGTAAGGTTAGATCAAGGTCTCATGGTCAACTCACATTAGACTTGACCTCCCCTAAAGTTTACCCTTCCTGGCATTACCCGGGGTGGAGGTTCTGACCTGATTGTCCTCATGTCGACACTGGTCACGGATATGCTGGTCAGTAATTTCTTTACTTGTCAAGTCAGGTCAAAATTGCCCCACTTTGGATCCACCACTAATTTGAGATACATGTATCCTTGGTAATCATGGGACCTGATAATAGCTGATCTGGCTTATCACGGTATCCTCAATTGCGACCATGTGTACGCTTATCACTGATTGATCTGGGTTATCGTGGAATTATCATGGGTCAGCGGAGGGTCTGCGAGAGCAACAGCGGTAGCAGTGACGGCCAAGAGGTGGCAGCATGGCTCGAGGCACCAGCTTCCAGCCTTAGATGACAGCATTTGTTTCCCCGGCTTTATTGGTTGGTATCTGAAGAAAGCTTCCTGCTCCATGCTTGTTTTGGTGGAATTTTTTTTAACTTTTACTTACCCTCCTCCATGGAACCTGTGAACAAGAAGTATATTAAGGTTCCTGATCCAACCAAGCGATGAAGACTTGTGTATTCTCTGGTTGAATGTTTCGATGTTCCCAACAAGGATAAGCATGCTCTTGACAGCACACCCACTGTGGTTACCACTTCCTTCCATTCCATCTCTCTAATCACCCCCACCTTTCTGCTTTCTCTCTCCATAATTTAAAATTTGTTACGTAATTGTCGCGATCCCAATATCCTTTATACCTGGGGAGTGAAACCTACCCCAAGTTATTATCAAATAAAGGAACAAATAGGGAACACGGCAATAATTATCCCCACAAAAACCTACTCAACTAAATGTACATGAATAAGTAAGAACAGTTGAAATAAGTGAGTCACAAAAGGGAAGATAATTAATTAATTCAATTTATGTTCTAAAGGGAGTACTGACTATAGCAAACAAGAATTTAAGGGAATAAGTAATTGTATATTACTATAAGAGTGATGCCGGAAGGGTGAAAATATACCGTTAAGGAGTTAGACCAAACGAATACTACTTAACATAACTATATTACACAGTCATACTATATATATATACACAACAATCCCTACAAAATAGTTATTTCCTACCAAACAGGAGATTCCTTACCACCAGGATCCCTTCCTAGGCCTAACTGAATGTGTCACTAATACCTGATACCACTAGGGCATTGCAGAAGACTGGACAAAGCACTAGACAAGGGTCAAGGCTAGAGAAAGAATGGACACGTCTACCCTATGCCACGGTTTTTCGCCACTGGGGAAGCGTCCCCATGCGGTGGAGGAGCGCGTCTCATATCACGTGAACCAGGACATTTGCTAGATAATTTATATAATTAATTAATACTACTCTTGATTTGACTTAACAGAGTAACACAAAGATGCATAGTAATAACATACATAAATATACAATTAACCTAAGTAACTAAGAACAACAATAATATAATAAGTACAATTAACAAATTATTAATAGCTTGTGTGGAATGGAGGCGTGAACATATGCCTCACGCCATGCGAGTTCATCGAGCGCTAGAGGCACGTGACAATAATGTAGAAGGAATATGACCTTATTCATTTATACTTGTACTCAATTTTGTGGGTAGATATCAGCTGTTCAATTGTGACTGGCAATGCTGCAGCCAGTGTTACCAAACAAACCAATTGATGCATCATCTCACCTATTACCACAATCTCCACCTCCACCTCCATGATCACCACCACTGCCTCAATTATCACCACCTAAATCATAATTTGAGTGATGCAGAGATGGATTTGCTTTATCCAGACTAGATCAGCACTATATCCACTGCCTCCTACCCACCTCCCTACCTCCCTCCCACCCACTGCATCTCACCGACACTCTGCCTCTCTCACTCATTCTACTATGACTGTCATTCATGATAAATATTTTACTGTACTGTATATTGTTTATTTGTTATTCATTAATTAGTAAAGATATGTTATTAGTATTATATCTTTGTACCTACACATTTTTGGGGGTTGTGGGACCAAACAAATTTTTCCCATATATTGTGTTTCAATATGCACAGTTTTCCTTATGACGGTAGTTTTTTGGAACCAAATCCTGCGATTATTGAGGATGTTTATGTTCTGGGTATCAAGTTCTATCTACAGGAGCGAACACAAACACCTGTAGAGTTTTCGTAGGTTCTATTTACTGGATAAACAGAGATACACAAGGGAGGTGGCGCTCCTTACTCTGTCTGGGGGGTCAACTAGCCTTTCAGGCGACATGTGGCAAGTGATACATTAGCAGCTTCCATATGTCGCCAGGCACATTAATTAAGCGTGTGGGACATGGTAAATACATTGCCACACGCTGCTAGCTAGGCTGAATAAATAATGTATATAAATGGAGCACATACATAATATACATACAGCATACATAATATACATACACCTCCCTCCCCCCCCCCATATGCTCATAGCAAAGTCTTGAGCGGACCTTTTCTTTTGGATCCGTTCTGAAGAGGTCGGAGGTACCTGCAACGTATGTTCCAAGACACGTTGAGTTTCCAAGGACAGGCACATATGCAGCTAAATAAGTTGTTTAGGCTGTGACAAGCTCTGGAGATCCACCATTGTAGCATAATCAGTCCACCGTCGCCGCCATTCACGAAAAGTCTGGAAATTCACATCAGGCTTCAAGACGGGCGGTGTTTGAGCAGCCGCTTTAGGTGGGGCTGGGGGGCGTGAAGAAAGCGTTGATGAGGTATGTGAACCAGTCGATACCGAGGCAGTGTTAGAGCCAGGAGCTTGGTTAACAGTGAGGCGAGATATCAAAGCTTCAAACCTTGCACTGTCTTCCAATCTCCGTTGGTGATCTCTCTCTGCCTCAGCTTGCCTTCGTTCTTCATCCTCCACATGTCTTTTAGCTTCGTCGTGACGCCTTTCATCCCTCATAAACTTCATTAAAGCAATTATCTCTGAAGACAATGCTGAAGATCGAGGTGAAGGGCTGCGCGATGTGGTGGGAGGAACTGGAACGTCCTGTTCAGCCTGGTCATCCATCTCTGCAGAATTGTCATCCGACTGACTCATCCAGGCGTTGGCTCCACGACTGCGTAAGGCACGAGACATAATTACTTAATCTGTGTACTGTGTCTTAAATCAGTGTTGACCGGTCAGCCTGTCGTATCAACAAGATCTGAGACAAAAAAATAAATTAAATGCACAGATAAGTAGATTATATATATATATATATATATATATATATATATATATATATATATATATATATATATATATATATATATATATATATATATATATATATATATATATATATAATATATTTAAAGGAATGGCTGCAGTCAGTGTGTTCGTTCGTGCGTGCGTGTGTGTATGTGTGCGCGCCTCGGGCAGTGAGGGAGAGGCGGCGACTCACAGTCAGTTACCCTCTAGGCACGGCCGGAGGAGGCTGCACTGAACTCCACTCCTCACAAATGCCCTGAACATGCCTTCCACCTTGGGAATCCTTTAGAACAAGGTCACACAGTTATGGCACTAAACACACAATGCACTTATACACTTCACAGGAAATTGCTGTCACTGACACTGCTCAAAGTTGCTATAAATTCTTGGGGGAGACAGCCATAAGCGGTTGACGACAGAACGGGTCCATAAGCCGGTCTTGCCACAAACTTTGCACTTCACTGTATAATGATCCAGTTAATTAACACACTGCGCCATGTATATGTTCTGGGTATCAAGTTCTATCTACAGGAGCGAACACAAACACCTGTAGAGTTTTCGTAGGTTCTATTTACTGGATAAACAGAGATACACAAGGGAGGTGGCACTCCTTACTCTGTCTGGGGGGTCAACTAGCCTTTCAGGCGACATGTGGTAAGTGATACATTAGCAGCTTCCATATGTCGCCAGGCACATTAATTAAGCGTGTGGGACATGGTAAATACATTGCCACACGCTGCTAGCTAGGCTGAATAAATAATGTATATAAATGGAGCACATACATAATATACATACAGAGATTCATTTATTTGTTTGATATAATCTAAATACACTTACAGTCAACCCTCACTTTACGCGGTTAATGTAACCCGCAGGGTCCCTCGGAAAGTGAGGAA